AGTGACTGTAAGTTCGGCAGAGCTGGTAGTCAGAACGTGCTGATCATGGACCCCAGTTCTACAGGGACGATGCAGCGGATACAGAGTGAAAGGAACATCCTGGATGAACCAGACTCTCCTGTAGAGGTTAGACCTAAATACCTATTGCTAAAAAATAATGTTTTTTTTTTTGTTATTTTGTTTTTTTTAAAATACGTAATTTACGAGGCATACACTTTCAGTACCATGGACAGCGAAAAAACATCCTCTGTTTTTTTCCCCCTCTGTCTCTCTCTCTCTCTTTCTGTATATCTGTCTCTTTATCTCTCTCTCTTTCTCGTAATGTTAGTGCTTTACTTCATGCCTCTCTTTTCCTCACACTTGAAACAAATAGTTATATTGCAAAATTTGCTGTTTATCACCTATTTAATTTACAGATAATCTTTCCCAGTAGTCATTGATGGTTGTTGTTTTTTTCGGCGAACACATATTTAACAACAGAGGTAACAGTATGTTTTCCTCATTATTCGTGTAGTTTCGAGTTGTGAACTCAGTGGGCCGCTGTTGACCAGCCTCTCAGCGTTTATAACCATAATTATACAAGGACAACCTCCGTTCTCTCACAAGGGAGACGGACTCCGACACATAAACGCACAGTCGACGGAGGATGAAACCGAATGCGCGGAATATATCAAACTGGAATAATTTTTCTCTCAGTTGTTGATTAAACTCACCTTCCTGTGGGTTTGATTTGCATCAGTAACGTTGATATCCAAAGGGAGGACAACACGTTATTTTAATTCGACGGAGGTTTCTGAAAGAACAATGAGACGGCAAGTACTGTTGTTTTTCTCGGTCCTCTGTCTCAGCTCTGTGCTCGGCCAGGTCAGCTACTCTATCCCGGAGGAAATGGCCAAAGGCTCCTTGGTCGGTAACATAGCTCAAGATTTAGGTGTGGATGTTAAACGACTGCAAGCGCGTAGAGCTCGTATTCACACAGGGGACAGTGCAGAGTACATTCAGCTAAACAAGGAAAAAGGACTCCTCGTCATCAAAGAGAGAATAGACCGCGAAGCTCTGTGTGGCCAGACAACGCCTTGTGCTTTACATTTTCAGATTGCCTTAGAGAACCCCATAGAAATATTCCCGATTACTGTCGAAATCACAGACATTAACGACAATGCTCCAGTTTTCCAAAAGGACGAGAAGAACATTGAAATCAGCGAGTCGGCAGTCATCGGCTCTAAATTCATGTTAGAAAAAGCAATAGACCTTGATATCGGAAGGAATGGTCTTCAGACCTACACACTGAAGCCCAATGATAATTTTATACTTAAGTTACACGGTCAGTCGAACGGTGTTAAAAAGGTTGAACTGATTTTACAGAAACCTCTGGATAGAGAGAAAAAGGAGTTTGCCTCGTTATTGCTGACGGCTGTAGATGGAGGAGAGCCGCAGAAGTCTGGCACTATGCAGATTCATATAACTGTGTTAGACGCGAATGACAATGCCCCTGTGTTTACACAGACACTATACAAAGCAAGTGTGAAAGAAAATTCTCTGAAAGGAACCATCATCACCAAAGTGAGTGCCTCCGATGCGGACAAAGGCTCGAATGGAGAGGTTAGCTACATAATCAGTAATGGCGTGATAGGTTCCATAGATTTATTCCACATCACCCAAGATGGTCAGCTTATTTTAAATGGGCCGATTGATTTCGAAAAAGCCAGAAATTATGAAATAGATATTGAGGCAGTTGACCGAGGGGGACTGTCTGATTCAAGCAAAGTGAGCATTGATGTGGGTGATATTAATGACAATAGTCCTGTTATAAATATGATTTCATCATCAAACTCAGTTGAAGAAGATTCACGTTCCCACACCGTGGTAGCTGTAATGAGCGTAAATGATCCTGATTCTGAAGAAAACGGGAAGGTCCGTTGTGTGATTAACAGAAATATACCATTTGCTCTCACAGCTACATCCAGTAATTTATACAGTATTGTGACAGACAGTGAATTAGACCGAGAGACCGCATCAGAGTATAACATCACAGTGAGCTGCTCTGATGAGGGAGTGCCCTCCCTCTCCAGCAGCGTCACCCTCACCTTACAGATCTCTGACGTGAATGACAACGCGCCTGTCTTTGAGAGGAGCTCATATGAGGCTTACATTGTAGAGAACAACACACCAGGTCTCTCTATATTCACAKTGAAAGCCAGAGAYGCTGACTGGAACCAGAATGCCCGTGTYTCTTACATACTGGAGGACTCCTCTGTTAACGGAGTGCCAGTCTCCTCATATGTGTCCGTTAGTGCTGATAGTGGAGTCATCCATGCAGTGCGCTCTTTTGACTACGAGCAGATCAAAGACTTTCACTTCCGAGTCAAAGCTCAGGATGGAGGTTCTCCTCCACTCAGTAGTAACGTGACTGTGAAAATACTGATCCAGGACCTGCAGAAAGCCACAGACAGGGCGCTGTTTGAAGTGGGCTCACAGAATGGAGAAATAAGAACTATCCGCCAAGTCACTGATAAAGACGCAGTGAAACAAAGACTGACTGTTATAGTGGAGGACAACGGGCAGCCCTCTCGTTCAGCTACAGTCGTTGTTAACGTGGCGGTGGCGGACAGCTTCCCCGAAGTGCTGTCGGAGTTCACTGACTTTACGCACGACAAGGAGTACAACGACAACCTGACTTTTTACTTAGTGTTGGCTCTGGCTGTAGTTTCCTTCCTGTTCATCACGTGTGTAGTGGTTATTATCTCAGTGAAAATCTACAGGTGGAGACAGTCTCGTGTCCTGTATCACTCCAATCTCCCTGTGATTCCATATTATCCACCACGTTACTCAGACACTTTGGGGACAGGGACTCTCCAACACGTGTACAATTACGAGGTGTGCAGGACGACTGACTCCAGAAAGAGTGACTGTAAGTTCGGCAGAGCTGGTAGTCAGAACGTGCTGATCATGGACCCCAGTTCTACAGGGACGATGCAGCGGATACAGAGTGAAAGGAACATCCTGGATGAACCAGACTCTCCTCTAGAGGTTAGAAAGGTGTCACATCACTTTTCCTTATTATTTTTTATCATTTTTTTCTGGTCTTTGCATTTTCAGCACCTTGGAGAGCAGCATGTACACAATATGCATCTGTGTTATTTAATACGACAGAAAATGACTAATGTTTGTCTTCACACTTTAAGATGAATTTAGTTATGAATATTTATACTTTTAAGCCTGATAGTGTAACAGCTCAATCCCAGCTTTCATAATTCGTCTGTCTTCACTTTCTCACCTCTCCCATCACTCCTCTCTCCGTGCAGTTTTGCTTTCTGAACTCAGTGGGCCGCTGTCGGCTAGTCTGTTGCAGTTATGCTATATTTACAGCAGCACCGCCTCTTCATGTCGATATATTCGAGAGGAAGGGAAGGCGCAGACCGCATTGTCTCCTCCAGAGTGGCCGATTTATCTCGCGACAGGACTGTTTTTATTTTTCGCACATCCTGAGGACTGTTTTGTTTCATATTTTGCTTCGAGTGACTATACAATCTTTCCAAAGGATTACACGAAGTCTCTGTTTCTTACTGCCGATGAAATTTCAAACAATGTTACGGCAAGTACTGTATTTTATTTCGATGCTCTGTCTGAGGTCAGTCATCGCACAGGTCACTTACTCTATTCCGGAGGAAATGTCGAAGGGCTCTTTGGTCGGAAATATAGCCCAGGATTTAGGTTTGGATGTTAAACGGCTGAAGTTGGGTAACGCTCATGTTTATTCTGGTGATAGCAGAGAATACATCGAGCTGAACAATGACAGAGGAGTCCTCCTTATCAAAGAGAGAATAGACAGAGAGGCGTTGTGCGGCGATACGACGCCGTGTGCTGTGCATTTCCAGATCGTGTTAGAGAACCCTATGGAATTTTACAGTGTCACTGTAGAAATAACAGATATTAACGATAATGCACCGACCTTTGAAAAAAACGAAATTAAATTCGTTATTAGCGAGTCTGCAGTAGTTGGGGCAAAATTTGACTTAGAAAGAGCAGTGGATTCGGATGTTGGCTCAAATAGTCTTCAAAGTTACGTGCTTAAGCCAACTGATAATTTTTTATTGAAGCTGCACAGTCAAGCGGATGGTACAAAAAATGTTGAAATGGTTTTACAAAAACCACTGGACAGAGAGAAAAACGAGTTAATATCTTTGGTGTTGACGGCTGTAGATGGAGGAGAGCCGCAGATGTCGGGAACAATGCAGATTTCTATCACTGTGTTAGATGCCAACGACAATGCTCCCGTTTTTACACAGAAGATTTACAAAGGAACGGTGGCTGAAAATTCTGCAAAGGGCACGATCGTGACCACTGTTAGTGCTTCAGATGCTGATCATGGTTTGAATGGTAAAATAATTTATTCGATCACAAACACATTGGATGACGTCAGACATATGTTTGAAGTAAATGAGGACAGCGGGGAAGTCAGATTGATCGGACGTTTGGATTATGAAAAGAAAAGACATTTTCAGATCAGTGTACGTGCAAGAGATAATGGAGGGCTGACAGATTCTTGTAAAGTGACTGTCGATGTAGTTGATATTAACGACAATCAACCAACGATTAAAATCATGTCTAAATCAACTGTTATATCAGAGAGTGCAGACCCCAACACAGTCGTCACAATGATTAATATCCAGGACCCCGACTCGGGTGAAAATGGTAAAGTTCAGTGTTTTATAAATGATAATATTCCGTTTTTACTGAAATCGACTTCAAATAATTTCTATAGTTTAGTGACAGACGGTGATTTGGACCGAGAGACAGCATCAGAGTATAATATCACAGTGACCTGCTCTGATGAGGGAGTGCCCTCCCTCTCCAGCAGCGTCACTCTCACCTTACAGATCTCTGACGTGAATGACAACGCGCCTGT